GGGAGTTATTGTCAACGGTATGTTTGAGTTCTATTATGATAGCTAGATGGTTTAAATTTGAAGTTCTATTATTATTTCCGCTATTTCTCCATGCATATTAGGCTTACCTAGTCTTACAAAACTAGGTGCCATAACGACATCTTACGGTGAGAAATTGGGGTCGTGATAATATGTCATCTTTTTGAGTGAGTGGAATAAACTTCTCCAAGAAAAGCTGTGAAAACTGAGCCCAAGTAAGAGGTAGTGACTTGCTTGTCTGCCCATCTCATAGGTCTGCCACCACCTCTTGGCTAAACCCTGCATCTATAGAACATTGAAGTCCAGTCCATTGGGCTCTACCAACCCAAATTGCGCAAAATCTCAAGTCGTCGGTCTAAGAACTGCTCGATATCCTATGTAGGCAACCCGCTGAAAGGAGAAGGGTGAAACTTCTAAAACCTATCCATCCCTCTTCAGCTCATCATCAAACATAGCAGTCTTAACCTCAGGCGGCACTGCAACAATAGGCTAAACCACCCTAGCTGGTAGTACCCCCGGAGTCTAATATCCATGCAACATCTGTTCTGGAGTGTGAGTGGTGGGGACTGAGCTCCTTCCCCGTCCTGAGAAGTGGCTGGTGCCATAGAGAGTACACACGCTAGGTGTCGCGTCCCATTTTTTTGCGAAAACAGGTTACGACATGTGACAACTCTTTTAAATGAGATTAAAAGAGAGGAGTCACTTTTTGTGGTGTGTTAGGGCACCTATTTGCAAGTAACTCCGATTAAACTAGTCTACGTCACTAAAGATCAGGTAAGGGTTCAAATTACCTTAAAGAGAAGGTGTTAGGAACTCTTCGAGGTCCATAAATATAGTTCCCGGATGAATTTTAAACTGTGTGGAAATATTAGATTTCTAATACTATGTTGTAAATTAATTAATGCTAGGCGGTTAAATATGCCAAACAATTAAAGATGAACAAATAGTCACTTAATCAATAAAGTGCATAAAGAAAATTTTTGTCTCACGACCCAAAAATCCCATCAAGTCGTGATAGCACCTAACTCAACCTGCTTGGTAAGCCAAACAACAAATAACACAACTCAAATAAAAGATCATTAATAATCAATAAATAAGATGGCTTAATTCCATACAATATGTCAAGGATTTATAGTACAAATCATGAGCAACTAAGATTAAGAATACAACTCCGACACGAAGAAATAATATAACAATTGTTTGAAATTAACATAAACAGAATTATAAGTCCTAAACCACCATGAACAAGTAGTTGCTTGAATCTGGATCGCTGGTAAAACTTCAATGCTAGCCTTCATCATCCACATCAGTTTGGCTCTAAGATCTGCGTGCAATGTGCATATGTGTAGTATGAGTACAACCGACCCCATGTACTTAGTAAGTATCCTCACTAACCTTGGTGAAGTAGTGACGAGGTTTTCAAGTCATAAGATTTTCGCTTTACTTAACCTGTATAGATCAATAACATATATATGTACACAACAATAATATCGAAATCTAAGCCTGAAGTAAAGATGAGTCCATCGGTGCACATAGAGAATATGTGCACAAGTATCGTAAATATACTAACAATTTCAACATATAGGGAAGATACACATTTGATATCGAATAACTCGTCAACAATTGCATATAGAGAAGATATACACAGGTTTTGTACCAGTTTAACAGCTTAGCATATAGAGAAGATATGCGCCTAACATCATTAAATCATCGACAATTGCATATAGAGAAGACATGAATAAATAAGCAAGCCAACTTACTAGGTTGACAGATAGAGAAGATATGTACTTTGAATCAATTCATCGATCATGTGGCATATAGAGAAGATATGCATAAATATCGAATAAATGTCAGCAATTGCATATAGAGAAGATATGCATGGAATACCTGATAACCGTCAACGATTGCATATAGAGAAGATACGCAAAGTCCAACCACTGATCAGTTTTCCATAATCAGCGTGAATGAGAAACCGATCAGTTTTTCACAAACTGCGTGTACGCCACCAAGCGAGAAACATGAGAGGGCGACCCCAGGGGGATGGATCCTTATCCAGACGCTGCACGGACAACCACATGTCATAATTATAACGACCGCAAGGATGACTCACGTGTTGCACGGAAAACTCACATGCCAATAATAATAACAACTGCATGGACAACTCACGTGCTACACGGTCAACTCACGTGCCAATAATAATAAAAATCGCACGGACAACTCATGTGCTGCACGAACAATTCACGTGCCATAATTATAACAACCGCACTGACAACTCACATGCCATAATCTTAACACCGCACAGATAAATCACGTGTTGTCAATCCGGTTCATCACCAAGAAAGCATATACAAGAATACATGTATACAGTCAATGGATATCAAATCACATACTCATGGACTAGTAAAATTGCATGATGAGGTGTATGTATTTGCGAAGTACATGACTATAGCTCAGATTAGGTCGTTATGCCACACACAATGAGTATTATGTTTGAATTGGGAAATTAAACCCATACATGATCTGTAGCATGATTCACCAAGTTCATGTAGTCATACAAATATATAAAGCATGATAGCATGAAGCACAGTATCCAAAACAAGGCATAGTACAACCTAAAGACTACTCCGGTCATGAATCATACATAGCACCAACATATACACTCGTCACCTTTTATATACGTCACTTCTCACACATTCTAATAAACGAAAAAGGTCATATCCTAAGGTCAACAAGATTAGGAAAGATACGTACCGTATCCTCGTAGTCTTCAACCTTAAATCGCATCAAAACATAGCTCTAGTCCTTCAATCACACAAATCCAAGCCAATCATCCATCAAGGAAGTATAACAATACTATAGGAAGCAATCTCAGTCAATAAAGCTTCGATCTTTAATCAAATTCCCAAAAGTTAACAAAGGTCAACCGGGGCCCGAGTGCCAAAATCTGAAACCAATACCAAATATCGATGACCCATAACTTATCGAGTCCAAATATGTGATTAGATTCCAATAGCGAGTCTAAATTGGTACTCAAATCCCAAAAATACGCTTTCATATCTTTCAAGGCAAAACCCTCTTTTCTCCTTTTGGATTCCTTGATTTAGAGTCAAAAGTAATAATAGATTCAAATAAAAATCATAGATCTAGGTTAGAATTCCTTACCTTAATGATGTAGATGAAATCTCTTTCAAATATCTTCCAAATCTGAGTTGTGTAGCTCCCAAAATGATAAAATGAAGTCTATGTACGAAATGAGACTTGAATAGAGAAGGCTGAAATTTCAGCACTTGGCACCTTGCCTAGGGTTCGTGCACGCCGTTAAGGCAAGCCCATTTGAGGCCGTGCCTGGGGCATGCACAACACATGCCCTTAAGGCAAGCCCATCTAAGGCCGTGCATGGGTTTCGTGCAACGCGCTCCCTTAAGGCAAGCCTCTGCAACCTCATGCCTAATATTTTTGCAACTTAACCATTCTAAAACTCTCCCGAATACTCCAAAACTAACTTAAGGCAAGACTCCATCCAATCATTCCTACTAGTCCAAATACCGATATGGACTTGTCCAACAACTCAAAACATAAAAAACAACAACAAAATAAAGAATCGAAGATCAAATCCATCTCTTAAGTTGTAAACTTTCTAATTTCGCCGAACGCATCCGAATCACACTTAGACATTTCGGATCAGAACCAAACTTTGCACATAAGTCTCAATCAGCTAAATAAATCTATCCAAAGTCTCAAAACCCCAACTGGACCACAATAACACCAATGTCAACTCCTGGTCAAACTTATGAACTCTCAAATTCTTCAAATTGCTAACTTTTAACAAATAGAGATAAAACATTCGAGGAACATCCAAAGTTATATCTGAACATATGCCAAAGCCAAAATTACCATACGAACCTATTGAAATCATTAAATCCTGATTTCGAGGTCGTTTAAAAGTCAAACTTTGGTCAATTATACCAACTTAAAGCTTCCAAATTGAGAATCACTTTATTAAATCAATCCCTGAACCTTACGAACACAAAACCCACCCATACACAAGTCATAATACATCATATGAAGCTACTCAAGGTCTTAAACCGGCAAACGAAATACTAACACTCAAAATGACTGATCGGGTTGTTACAATTGGTAGGGAATAATTTTATCCTAAGGAAACTAATTAATTATTATTTAAGGGAGACCTGTGTTTTTAACCTAATGGATTAACTCCCGTGCAAAGTCTGCTAAGACTTTTATAGCCAAAGTGCAATGGTTATTCGGGCAATTTGTGTATCATCTCAGCTACCCTCATTATTATTTTTAAATTATTTACCTAAAGCGTACTATTTGATTCTACGTCGTGCCTTAATATAACTAGCCGCCCCTTCCTATAGTCCAGGAGGCGTTGGACACTATCTAAAGGGAAGTTCTAGACTCAAATAAAAGCTAAGGTTTCTATTCCAATTTCTAATCAGCGTCACATAGAAGAGAACAAGTTGGACTACCATATAGCATGTTGTACAAGTAAACGCTCAAATTAGCCTCTCATATAGACACTTAAGCGAAATGGGGCAGGTTATATGCAAGCAAATCTGAATGTATTTGATACATTGGTTCCAAAATGATCGAACCGGTTTTTAAGCACGCGAAGGCGGCATACATGCGAGTTATTCCAAATTATAAGTTGCGAGGTTCCAATAGACATGATATTTTTTAAAAAAATGGGTACACAGGTTCAACAACGTTGCTTAAATTCAGTTATTATAAGCATGATATTTACATTGTGATGGCTGCTTATTATCAAGTCCTAAGCATATGTTTGCTAGACCTCAACAAATAATCCACATAGAATAGTGTTAGGTCCTATAGCCATGATTTATAAACAAGCAATATAAACAGGCAAATTTGATTTTAAACATTGGCCCTATAAGCATGATCTCTAAGTGCGTCAATTAGTGGACATACGTCAAAAAGAATAACTGGACAGATTCATATCACCAGGTATACAAATATATATATTAAGATCGAATTACTAAGTTGTCACCCTGTAGGCATGCTTTCTAAATAGTAACAAACAGGTAAAGCATATTGTTGCATATTAAATCCTATAGGCATGGTTTCTAGGCATAACAAAGAGCGAATGCGAGAGAAAAGTATAAAAGGACAACATTCTATAGACATGATTTCTACCCATCGTATGATCCTATAAGCACGTTGTCTAATAAGTGATGAAATATATAATGTTCCCTGTCCCCAAATTGTACTAACATCCCCATAGTTAGTTACATCATTATTACAGACCCAAGAATGAAGTAAACTAAAATGAACAAATACACAGCGAAGAAAATTATAATCACAGTCCCAGGTAAGTATTGGGCCTTCAGGATGTTTCCCAACGCGATCAAGACCCAGCACTCAACCCTGAGATCCCACAGTAGCAGCAGACGGCACAATCAATCAAGCCAGAGTGCAATTTGACTCGAGACCTCTTTAGGCAAGCGATACTAGAAATATTAAATTGATCAGTATCTATCAAATTTTAATTGAGTAATAAGGTTAACTAGGTGAAACATATGTAAGCAGAAACTAGATGCCATATAACCATATTCTTCAGGTTTCAAAACATATTCCAACCAGATAAGAGTCAATTCAATAAGGCAAGGTAATAGGCATGCACAAGAAAATATACAGGCATATAATATTTTCCACGATGAAGGATAGCCAAGCATCAAATTTGGTTCACAAGAGACTAAGTTTTTTAAGTCATGACAGTAGCTAGCTAGTTAGGAAGAAACCAACTAATGAAGCATGCTATGATCATATTCATATGCGGAGGAGTTTTTCACAACATGAGTAAGCATTTAACAACTCTAAAGTTGAATTCGAGAGCATGAAACACTAATATAAATTCTCCTATAAGCATGCTTTTGCTAAGAATTCACACAAGGCCTAAATTGAAAAGAAACATGTTCATAATCTGCAATTGAACACATAGGAAAGAAAATGCATAGTAAAGGGGACTAACCAGTTACGCAAGAGAAATATCAAAGATAATAAAACCAGAAATTAGAGTAATAATCCCAAAGTAACCCAATAGAGTGAGAGCCTTGACCAGTGAATAACTTCAAGAAGTTCTTGAATCCCAAAATCCTCGATTCCTAGCACTTCAGTGTTCATGAGGGTTTCAGAGAACCCCGAGCACTACTTGTGCTAGGGGAGGATTAGCTAACCAGAGTTTCAATAGCCTTGGCTTTCAACCTGTTGTAGATGAAATCTAGAGAATACAAACTTCAAATATCCAAATACTTAACCGAAAAGTAAGTATCAATGAAAGCAGGAGAAATGAGTGACTTAAGTATGACTAGAGCGGAAGAGGAGAGGGGGTTTATATAGTTTAAGTACTAATCAAACACACAAGGAAAAAAATCAGTCGAATGCAAACCGAATCAAAGTTGGATTAGCTCAAATCGTGCACAAACCCTAATCGAGAGTGAATCGGTGGTGATGTGCCAGAATCTTGAAGATATTCTCTTTTCTTTAATGTATAGGGCTAGTATCTTGTAGAAATCCCTAAAATCGGAGCCATATTGGTTTTATTCATGAGAATCAGACTTGCCAAAAAACTTAGTGATAATGATATAGAACAAATAATGCTCTCAGCACACGTTAGCTAATGTATGCTGGTGTGGATGCCATGTGGAAAGGACGAGGTCACAGATGAGGAAGGCCAAACAAAATACCTATTATTGCTTTCGGAAGCTCCGTAAGCACTAGCGCACAAGCTGGGAAGGTAATTCTATCTCAAACGCAAGGGACGATGACGCCGGAGATGATCTCAAGTGAGGTAGTATTATCACTGGAGTGAGCAGGAAATTGACCCTTAGTACTCCATTACTAACAGGGCAATTGGGTAAGCTTGACACAGCTATATCTGGTGAAAAAATCAATGGAACAGGAGTTCTGGCTAACCCTTAGCAGAGTATTAGCTCCAGTGATTTATCAAAGGAGGGGGAAAATGCAAAGGAGCCGAGCATAGATAAATTTGAACCCACTGTAGCTAATATTGTTACTGAGAAACCTATGGAGCAGCTCAATGCAACAGTGTACCCTGCAAATAACAGGGATGGACCAAAGGCATGGGTGAATTTGCAAAATCGGCCAGCCACTCATGGAATGACACTTTGATATATTCCTCCCCAAATTGTAGATGGGCAAACTGTTGGAAAAATATTGTATTACTGAAAATAAGGTTTAGTTTGAGGCGTGTCAAGTACACTGTCCTTAAGAATATTTCGCTCATATCGTAATGAATAAAATTAGGCGTATCCATAAGTATTCAACAAACTCTTCTTGTATAAACTAGGAGCAGAAACAACAAAGATTAACGACAACCAGTATAATATAAGAAAAGATTTTTCTTTTTCACTACCTTTAAAAGATGAAAACAAAGTAGTATATATAGTCAAAACAAAATTGCACTATCTGACAAGAAAACTTCCAAGCCATAAAGGCTTTTCAAAAATTTTATTACCATACGTTAAAACAAAAGCCATTAAGGCTAAGAAACGTTAAGGCTCTGCATAACTGATGCACCAAAAGTAACGTATAAGTTATTATCATTCAATTGTCAGATTTTATTTGTCAAAGATTGAATTCAAACTTATCAAATTAGTTGTTACAAATATTAAAAGAATGAACCTAGACATGATTTTTTAAACAATTCTTTTTGAGATATTAAAACCATTTTTTTCCACACAAACAATAGTGCAAATAGAGCTTCAAGATGTGGTGGAGGAAGAGAAGAAATGGAGTGTTGCTATGATAGCCTATATAATTGGGGACAAAGTGGGTATAATACAATGAGGAGATATATTACCCAACACTGGTTAGATGTTGCTGAGCCGGGGTTGTTCTTACATGATGAAGGCTATTATGTGATTAAGTTAAAATTGACGGTGGATATGCACAAAATTTTCTATGTTGGACCTCATACCATCAACAATAGGCCAATAATTCTGAGACCATGGACACCTAACTTGATTTAAACAAGGAATTCCTAGCCGAGAGACCTCTATGGGTGATATTCCCTAAACTTACTATGGGTGATATTACCTCTATGGGTCATTGTTTGCGGATGAATGCACTACAAAGCAAACAAGAATTTCCTATACAAGGATGATGATAGAAGTCAATGTAACAAAGATCTTTCCTACAAAGGTTACTGTTATGGATCCTTATGGATCCTAGAGGCAGAAAATTTCAACAACAGTTGGTGTATGAATGGAACCAAACTACTGTGACAAATGCCAGACTATTGGCCACACATGTGCTACTCAACAAGGGCCTAGAATGCAGCAGAATGAACAACCAAAGAGAAGAAGAGAAATAAAGAAAGTCACATATGAATGGACATGCAAAGAACTTGTGATGGTAGAAATTGCGAACAAAGTGAATCAGTCTCAAGATACCACAATACAAGAACAAACTTGGGCTAACTTACCAGTGGTGACTCTGGAGAATAGGCAGAACCAAGAGACAATTGGAACAGGGAACACAAGATCAATTTCAGTGGATAAAGGCAAAGAGGTGGCTAGCCTAGAGATACAACAACAACAACCCAGTATAATCCCACTAGTGGGGTCTGGGGAGGGTAGTGTGTACGCAGACCTTACCCCTACCCTAGGGTTGAGAGGCTATTTCCGATAGACCCCCGGCTCCCTCCCTCCAGGAACTCCCCACCTTGCTCTTGGGGTGACTCGAACTCACAACCTCTTGGTTGGAAGTGGAGGGTGCTTACCACTAGAGCAACTCACTCTTGTCAATGTGGCTAGCCTAGAGATGAACCTTGAAAACTTTTCTATGCTATCACCTACTGCTAACAGGAATGGTCTTCATATATCAGCAATGTGTACCAATGTGAGCTCCTCCTACCTTATGACAGAGGTGGGAGCACACACAATACACAATGACTTGGCTATTTTGGAATGTCAGGGGAATCAATAAGTGATACAAGCAGAAAGAGCTGAAGACCAAAAACATAAAGCTTGCAGGTATCACTAAAACTAGAGTTAAGGAACACAATGTAAAGAGAGTGAGCTCCCACATTGCCCCTGGCTGGCAAGTACTAAATAATTACATTAGTGCAGCTAAAATTTGGCTAATATGGGATCCCAACTACTATACAGTTACCCTACTTAGAGCAGAGGCAAAAGTTTCGCATTGCTTAGTTAAAGGGATTATAGGGGATCAAGAGTGCTTGTTATCAGTAATTTATGGTTACAACACAATTGAGCAGAGGAAGCAACTTCAAACTGACAGAGATTGGACAGGGGACCTCCAACCATGGCTAATTGGAGGAGATTTCAACTTTGTGTTGCATTTACAAGAAAGATTACATGGGAATCCAAAAAGTCTAGTTGAGGTCCAAGACTTTAAAAAATGTGTTCAAGATTTAGGTCTCAATGAATTGGCATGGGAGGGTGTATATTATACATGGCCTAACAAAGAAGCTGGGATTGACGGGATATGGAGTAGAATTTACAGACTGTTTGGTAATTAAGAATGGATGTTACAATATGTACATATATATATTCTCTATGATGTACCTTATGTCTCTGATCATGCCCCTATGAGCATGAACTTCACAGTAAACCAGGGCAGCAGGAAAGTACCATTCAAGTTCTTCGATGTGTGGGCTGAGCATGATGGTTTTCTATGCATTGTGCAGCAAGCATGGACTTAGAGATTACACAGTAGGAACTTGCAAAACATTTAGTAGAAAGTGAAAAAACATAGACCATTGCTCAGGAAGCTCAATATTGAGGAGTTCAAATTCATTAGACAGAAGATTGATACATCTAGGAATGAACTTGTTATAGTTCAAAGGAACATCGATGCCAATTGCACTGATGAGCTACTTATGGAGGAGAAGGGCATTATACAAAGGTTGGAAAAATGAGATATGCTGGAAGGAGCCTTAAAACAAAAAGCTAGAGTAAGATGGATAATATTAGGAGACTCTAATATAAGGTACTTTACAGATGTGATAAAGGAAAAGCCTCATAGGAAATAGGTCCAGGAACTTAATTCCCTTGCAGGGTGCAGATTAACTGATCCTGAAACCATAAAGGTAGAGATTGATAATTTTTAAAAAACTTTGATGGGGATTGCTGCTCATTCACTTCCTGCAATAAACAAGTTGGTGATACAGAAGGGACCAAACCTTTCACAATAGCAAAGAATATTTCTCTATAAGGATGTAACTGAGAAAGAGATCTATGAAGGACTATTCTCCATTGGAGAGGATAAAGCCCCTAGAGTTGATGAATACAATGCATGCTTCTTCAAGAATGCATGAGCTGTTATCAAAGAGGAGATCATAGAAGTTGTCCTGGAATTCTTTGCTACTAGCAGGATCTACAGAGCTATTAACTACGCTGCCATCACATTAGTACCCAAGACTATAAAGCCTAAAACTGTAAAGGAGTTTCGACCAATTGCCTGATGCACAGTGCTCTACAAACTGATTTCCAAGATCTTGGCATCTAGAATACAAGATGCCATCACTACTGTTATCAATAAAGCTCGGGCTAGATTTATACCTGGGAGGAGGATTGCAGATAATATAAGTTTAGCACATGAACTAGTGAAGGCCTATTCTAGAAAGTACATTTCCCCTCGATGCATGATTGAGATATACCTACAAAAAGCTTATGATTCTATGGAATGGCCTTATCTAAGACATGTTATGGAAGAGATGGGGTTTCCTCAGTTGTTTATCTCATGTGTAATGGAATGCATCCAAACAGTCAATTACTCCATCATAGTTAATGAAGAGCCAATAGTTTCCTTTAATGTTGCCGAGGGACTAAGATAAGATGACTCAATATCACCCTTCTTAATTATTGTAGTAGTGAAGTATCTAAGCAAAAGTCTTAATGGCCTCAAGACAGTTAAAGAGTTCAACTACCACCCTAGGCGTGCCAAGCTTGAGATAACACACATTAGCGTTGCTGATGATCTACTGCTTTTTTCCAAAAGGGATATGAAATCTTTATAGGAAATACAATAGAAGTTCCTGCAATTTACTCATGTCTCTGGACTGCAGGCTAACCTAAGCAAGAGTGAAGTATATTTTGGTGGAGTCCATTTAAATCATAGGCAACAGATATTGCAACACTTGGGATTCACTGCTGGAGACTTGCCCTTCAAGTATCTTGGACTACCATTGTCCACAAAGAAACTCTGTATCCTCCAGTGGCAGCCTCTCATAGATAAAATGACTGCTAGGATCACCTCTTGGACTGCAAAGACCCTTTCCTATGCTGGTAGAGTTCAGCAAGTTCAGAGTGTACTGTTTGATATTCGGGCTATCTAGGCACAACTATTTATGATACCTACCAAGGTGATTAACGTAATTAAAGGAATCTGCAGATCCTATATCTGGTCAGGTATCAAGGTAATCACAAAATGAGCATTGGTTACATGGGATAAAGTCTATATGCTTAAAGCTGGGGGTGGTCTTAATCTCACAAACATGAAACTTTGGAATAGAGCAGCAATAGCCAAAACTTGCTGGGTCTGGCACACAAACAGGACAAGCTATAGATTCAATGGATCCACACATACTACATCAAAAGGCAATAGTTCACCAACTTGGCAACTCCACAACAAGCTTGCTGGATGGTTAGGAAAGTTTTTGATGCCAGGAAAATACTGAAGAATTACCACTATGTACAGACACATAAGAAAAGTTTAATCAGACAAATATATTTGACTCTCCTTGGTGACTACAATCGAGTTGAATGGAAGTGCTTAATCTTTAGAAATATAGCACGACCAAAAGCAAGGTTCATAATGTGGCTTATAATACATGGAAAGCTTTTGACCTCTGTTAGGCTATGCAAATGGGGACTCAATGTAGATACACAATGTGTACTTTGCCAGCTGCAGGAGAAGACTAGATAACATCTGTTTATGAAGTGTGAGTACACAAGAAATGTCTGGAACAAATTGCTTCAATGGTTGAAGATGCAATGCCCATGAGCTTTAGATTGTCAGCAATATAACCAGTGGATCATCAAAATGCTCTAAAGAAAAGTCTCAGCAGGCACAAGTGTTTAAACTTGTATATGTAGAAAATGTGCACCATATATGGATTGAAAGGAACCTCCAAATTTTTTAGCAAAGGAGCAGATAGTGGAAACATAGTGCAAAGGAGATTGCTTATATTTGTAGTGTTCGAGTACCACCTAGAATTATTACTTTCCTACATAGCCTTCAATTTTGAGTTTG